AGGATGTTCAGATAACAAGTACCATACTCAGTACAAGTACATGTACAGATATTTTTCCAGCTCCAAGACTAGACTAGAGAAAAATTCAAATGTTAGGAGACAGCTGTAATTTTTAGGGAGCATATGGAGCTCCTGGGATTTTTACATCTCTGTTTTAAAGTGACATTAAACCCTCAGATTTTTTAACACAAACCAATACTGTAATGTGTGCCTTACTGTAATCCATGGTAGTTTCCCTTCTCTTTGCTGCTCTTCCTTTTAAATCCTCATGTCTTCTCATGCTGAGGGAGAACGTCCCTTTGCAGCTGAGTGCCTCTTCCTGTAGTGCTGGCTCAGGTTGCAAACCTACACACAGACACCATAGGGGTGATTTACTAACCTAAACACACGCACGCACTAGGTGCGTGTGATTTTTACACAGCAAAACGTATTTATCAACCAAAAAGTCTCTAAAAGCATATTTCCACTAATGCCATATATGGAAAAATCATGCACATGATGCATATATAATGCTGCTTCACAGTTTAGACAAAAATGGTTAGCTCATGCATTTACATTCCTGCATTCATCAACGCAAGCAACACAATGTAGAGCTAATTTACACAACATCACCTTGCAATTAATGCAGGGCTTTGCACAACACACCTGCTGGGTGTGTACACACTACAAAGGTGTCTAGATTCCACCAATAGATCATGCTGGGAGGGAACACACCTCAGAGGTGTATACTAGTTTGTGGCGTGTTTATAAGGTTAGTAAATCAACCCCCATGTATCCATTTCAGAGACAAGGCAGTCTGCTGCAAAACAGAAGTTCTCCCCAAGCATGAGAAGACATGAGGATTTAAAAGGAAGGAGCAGCAAAGAGAAGGGACACTACGATGGATTACAGTAAGGCACACATTACAGTATTGTTTTATGTTAAAAAATCTGAGGGTTTAATGTCACTTTAATGTATGATTTTCTTAAAAATAAATATACATTAGGGGTGCACCAATCCATTTTTTTCAAGTACTGATACTTGTCTAAGTACTCAAGTACTGATACATTTTTGTTTATTGTCATGTGACAGTTTTTCTAAAACAATACAGACTAAGGATCTCAGGACAGAGGTGGAGTGCCAGACCTAGGTCCCAGCTGCAACCGCTGCAAACCGGGTAGTTTTCATGAAAATGCCAAGTATCGACACTGGTATCTGAACTGGTATCTGAACATCCATATATATATATGTGTGTGTGTGTGTGTGTGTGTTTGTGTGTGGTTTTAAATCTTTGGTGTCTTTTGTGTATGTGTTCTTTTCTACAGCCCAAATGAACTATCATCCATACCAGCAGCATTGGTTTGAAACAGAGAAGCTTTTACACTGCTCAGTGTTAACACCAGGCAGATTTTAACAGGTTTAAGGATCAAAGGAAACAGACTGCAATCATAAAAATGAAGTTTAGCTGTCTACACCATTAGCTCTTTTATATATCCAGGTTGCCAAAAACAATCACCTTTTGAAGCAACCTTTATTTTATATTTGTTCTCTCATTGAACATAGCCCCTATTTGTCTTACAACCACAGGTTGAGTGAAAATGGAATGTGGCTCAGATTTCTATTTCTTGTAGAACTGCATTAACTTTGTGGTATAAAGTTGGTCTGCTGACCAGCATCTTTGCCCAAATCAAGAACTACTCATTGCAAGTCACCAACATGTTTCTTCAACATTTTGCAGAGAAAAGACACCTAAAGATGAACTATGGTATGGCATATTTATAAATAGGAACTGCACTGACGGAAATCCACTTTGGGCTGAAATGAATCGGCCGGTGTGCGCAAGCACACGCTGCCGCTCCGCACTGCAGTCATCGGAAGTACGATCTGCCTGTCCAAGATGGGCAGATCGTACAATTATCTAATTACCTTACAACCATCGCAAGACGAAAGTCGTGCGATGGTTGTAAAGTGTATGGCCAGCTTAACACTGTAAAACATGTGTTAATCTACCCATGGATCAGTTGCACATTGTTAATCCACTGCATACGGGGGTTTAAAAATCACATCTTAACAAAGGCAAAGGTTGCAAGGGATATGTAGTTAGAGCACAAATAGTTCTGTACAGCCTATAACAGACACTACCTTCTTGTCATCACACTGGATGGAGAGTAGTAGCATATGGTACATGGCTTTCAGTAGGAGCTACAGTAAGAAAGCAAATAAGGAGGGCACATATAGGCCAGGATGTAAACATAGTGTATATACTGCATAGAAACTAATACATTATATTTACTGATGTTAACCAGGCAAAGTGGATATGTAAATATTTTGCGATCACTATAAGAATATTCACATAAACACACTTAGACCTGAGGATTATTGGTATAGTTACATATTTACTAGGGATGCACAGATACTTTTCGAGTACCAGTGCAGATACTTGGCATTTTCATGAGAACTACCGGGGTTGCAGCGGTTGCAGCTGGGGCATGGCTCTGGCGCTCCTGAAATCATTAGTCTGTATTGTTTTAGAAAAACTGTCACATTACAATAAACAAAAATGTATCAGTACTCGTACTTGTAAGTACTCGGCAAGTACCAGTACTCGTACTCGCAAAACTGGTATCTGTGCATCCCTTTATTTATGTTTAGAAAAACAAAATCATACATTAAAACAGAGATGTACAAATAACTTATGGAGTGCTGGTGACCTATTTTCTTCAATCATGTACAAATCCCACGAGCTCTGTGCACTCCTTACAAATGACAGCTGCCTCCTAACTTCTGAATTTTTCTCTAGTCTAGTCTTGGAGCTCAAAAGTATCGGTACATGTACTCGTACTTGTACCGAGTACTGAACTTGGTATCTGTGCAACCCTAATATTTACAGATAACACACAAAACAATATTTTTTTTTGTGCAAATATTTTTATTGAAAAGGTATACACCTATTTTATATTTGTTACATGTTCCCATTCCAAAAACATACGTTAAAAAAAAATGCTTGCAGTTTAAATTGATTTTACTTGGGTTAGGTTTTTAAGAGTTAAACTCTCTTCTAGGTTCTATTTATTTGAAATGTTAGGAGGGGCTGTGACTGGTGAAGAGTCTGAGATGGCTTGCCCACTGTATGTTAATGAAGCTTATCAGATAAACATAATCCTTAAATTTCAGTCCCAAGCCTTTCCATTAGGACAGATCACTGTGAAAGGGTGAAGAAAAAGTTGGAATCAGCCAACTTGTCTTCTGCAACAAAACATCTAAAAGGTTAAGAACATTTTTTAAAAGTTATTTTTCAGTATGCTGTGTGAATAGGTAACATACCATATGGAGGGATTTTCTCAGATTTGACTGCAAAAGTGGAAATACACTTTAAGGCCTCATTCACACTGATAAGAGATGGCCCATGCAGATCCATGCAGTGTGCATGGTTGTATCAGGCCGATCCCGGGGAGGATGGGTGCTGCATGTGATTGCACGCAGCAGCCTGTTCTTCTCTATGGGATTTCGCGGCCAGGCGCTCATCCGTACTGCACATCCATGCGTGTGTCCGTGCTCAGATGCAGACAGAATCCATCCTGTCTGCGTACGAGCATGGACACCCGCACCTGCACAGATGTGCAGTTTGGGTGAGCGTACGGCGGTGTACTCTCATAGAGAAGAACAGGCTGCTGCGTGCTGCCCGCCAGATATGACAGCGCATGTCACACGGATCGGTATGGGTCGGCTCTTTTCAATTTGAATGAGGCCTAAAGTAGAAAGACTCACAGTAACACAACTGAGAAACTGATTGTTTATATATATATATATATATATATATTCCCATATATCAAATATCTAATGAACATATTACACAAGCAAAACTTTATACGGTAATAAATTACTTATATAATTAACCCATTTCTATGACTCATCTATAAACATGACACATATTAAGTCAAACATATCCTTTAAAACTTCTGTACAACTATCTTTAAAATTGACTTTTCATGTGTGCCTTCTAAAAGACTACATCTAATTCACATTGTACCATTTAGATGAAAATAATAGGTTGTTTAAAAAAATACTAAATAACAACACTCTTTTAAAGTTGTTATTTATATCCACAAGAACATAAATAAACCATGGGAAATACATTTTTACTAGCTCTATAACATGGAAGTGATCCATCTGGGACAGTCTTTAAGCCTTCATAATTGATTGCTAATATTACTGGTGCTTTTTACTTAGGAAGCTAGTTGTCCAGACCATGCAAGGGAACCTCATTACACATTGTGATGTCACAAGAGATATCCAAGTTCCCTAACATATTTTTTTATAACATTGTTAATGTCAAAAGAGCCAGCTAGCCATCATGGATTTATATAGAAAAAGTCTGCGCTCCTGGAATCAGCTAAAAGCTATTAACCCCAAAGCTGCTATGAGGAAAGGAGAACCTTGTATATTTAAATAATAACACAGTGCTAAGGGTGAACGAATCAAACTAAATAATTGGTGTAAATATGTGAACAATTTAAACAAATATATAAGAACTAGTGAATCATTATCATAATCAAATTACGATCTCTGTGAAATTACTATCAGGGATAGGTTATGGTATACTAGTAAATAAAACCATTCATGTGATATTAATTAAGTGTAACAAATTATTGGTAACAAATATTCAAATTGTGAAGAAAAGGATAAGTCTCAGTGGGTAATCTTCCAGTGATAAAACATTGTATTCTAGCACATAAAATAATTCATTCAGTAGTGAAATAGGTTGTGGCAAAATGTTTAAAAGTTGATACTTCCCAATATAGTCTCAATAGGTAATGTGACAAGTGTCAGTGAAGAAAAA